GGGGCTCAGACTGGGCTTGAGGCTGGGACAGGGGTTGTGTCTCTGACTGGGGCTCAGACTGGAGCTGAGACTGGGACAGGGGTTGCTGCGGGGGTTGTGTCACTGCCTGGTGGCTGGGCTGGAGCTGTGACTGGGACTCTGACTGGAGTGGGGCTTGGGCTGGCTGCTGAAGCTGTGGCTTGGTTGGTTCAGGAGGCTGCAGTCTGGCCTGGGCTTTCTTGCCCCTGGAGTGCTTGAACTGCAGCTTCAGGCTTGTCTTGGGGTGCTTCTGCTCCTGCTCCCTGAGCGGATCTTGTCTTCCAGGATGAAGGATTTGAGGAGTTTGGTTAGAATGCTGTGCCGCAACTCTCGAGGAAAGAGCATCATTCTGCAACATACTTCGAACCTGAACCTCCAACTGGACCATCTTGTCTCCCTGGTTTTTGAGAGCATCCTGGAGATTCGTCAGACTTCTCTGCACCTTCTCTCTGTCTTCAGAGAAGGAACTGATCTCTTTCTTCTGGATTTGGAGCTCCTGGGTCAGGTTGAACAGTAGAGATTTATGTTCCTTATTCTCTCTCAGACTCTGTTTGCCTTTGTCACTTAAGTCTTTCTCCAAAGCTGTTACCTTCAGGTCCAACTTTTTGGTTTTCTTCTGCAGCTTCTTGGTCCAGAATTTCAAACTGTTCAGGTCATTGTCCACTGTGGCCTGGAAATCATTAAGCACCCTGGAGATATTCTCATACTGCTCTGTCAAAACCTGGAAACGGGAATTGATGTTGTAGGAAATGTTGTAATTTTCCGCTATTCCTTGAAGGCGCGTGAGAGTCACCTCTTGGAATCGTCGAAACTGCCAAACAGATGGTAGAAAAAGAGTACCCATCAACCGTGTGTTTAACATAGTTTCACAAGAGCAAGCACGACACAGTCCTTCTCTAAGACAATGTCAACCACTGTCTCCTCATGGAGATTAGTTAGCAGCTTTTGCCTAACGTGACTGAATGTGGATGTTCCCAGTCTGGGCAATGGCCAGTACGTAAAACCTCTAATAGCATTTCAAGTAAAGAGTAAACAGTGCATTTTTATGCTTCTTTATGACTTTTCTTTTTAATAAGAACTTCTGTTAAAGCTACTATATTCTCTCATATATTATGTTTTTTTAAATGTATTTCTTGATTTGGTTTGGTTAATTACTCAAAATATAAGAAACAAGTCCTAAGGAGAATAATGACGACCATCAGCCAACATAGCGCCCTGTAGGGTTTGTGTGGCCATCCTGGAATGAATGAAGCCTGGAGACACACACCTCAGAGATCAGGAGCCTCTGCAAGACTGTGAGACCGTGCCCTGGCGGAACAACATGACAGCCCAGCAAAGCAGCCTGCAGGACAGGACACAGATTGCCAGCTCGAGACAAGGTCCTTACCTGCTCATCCAGTCTCCTAAGCCTTTCGAAAAAGGGCTTCCTTTGCTCAGTCTGCCCAGGGGCCTGCACAAAAGCGGGCTGTATGTGGAGGCAGATGAAGACCAAGACGAAGTACAGTCCCTCTTTGCAGGCGATCATGTTTGAGGAGAGGCAGGGCTGGCTTCTCGGCGTCGTGAGCCACTGGCTATATTAACTACCTCAGTGTGCACACAGGCTTTATATTTGGAATGGGATCCGTCTGATTAATAGCCCTGCCCGCGGGTTTCTCCAAAAGGAGGTCATGTTGCTCTCGGGATGCAGTGCAGAATTTAGGGGGGCTGTCTGTCAGCTAGATGAGTTCTGCAGACTCTCTACACTCACAGCCACTTCACACAGACCAGAGTGGTTACTTTTCCATACGGAGTGAGGCTGACTTTTCACTCCCACATCTTAGACTGTCCCGTGATGCGGCGTGCTGAAACGTTGAGCACTGTTTGTTTAGAAAGGCTATCGCAGTGCTAATTTCACTTTAAAGTAAATGAAAAAAAAAAAGATGAAGTCAATATTTAATAGCTCGGGTGTTGTCCACACTCGCGCTGAGCTCGGTGCAGACAGAACAGAGACTTCGGGGGACTTTGGAGTGATATCCACTACAGCACCCTTGAAAATGACGAACCTCTCAGGGAGACACTGGCGGCAGGGAGGGGTCTTGGGGACAGCTGTGGTGTTTCTATTTTCCCCGCGGGACCTCTGGGTTGAAATTTAGCTTCTTGGGGTCAGAGGTCACAGGAACACTGCATCTGTTCTCCTTCTTGACAAGTGTAAGAAAGGCCGTTGACGTCTCTGCTGAAGGATCTTTTTTTACCGTGGGCAGGTGGAGAGTTGCTCTTGCCATTATTCAAATAAATGGTCAAATTAGAAAAGTCCATCAGTGGTCTCTGAAAAGACCTGGAGTAGAGAAAAACAACAAACACTGAGCAAGGATGAGTGTGATATTCTGGGCTGTTGTTTTTCTTTCATCAGCGTTAACCAAGAGCCTGAAAACTAGTCGTGCTGTGAATCTGTAGAGGGCACATCTCACTTGACAGGCAGAACGGCATCTTTACAGCCCACAAATCGACAGATAAAAATAAATGAATACAACGAGTAATGAACGCAAGGTAAAACAATTAGAAAATGGATGGATGGAGAAATCAATACTAAAATCCTCGTCTCAATTCCTAGAAGCCAAGTCTCTTCATCCAAAAATTTCCGGAGCGCTGGTCTTCACGGCACCTTTCGATAGAGGGCGCTGTTTGTAAGGATATTGGTAGAGTATGATCCTTACGGGTTGCCGTACTGCACAGATGATACTTAACATGCATATGTAGTGTCTATATAGAGAGTAGAAGGTTGAGGGCAGTTGGTTAGGCAGTTTACAGAGCTAGTGTATTAAGAGTTTTAGAGCACTGTGTTAATAAAGTGCTCGTTCATCATTAAGAAGCTGTGTTATTCCGTGGCTCAGTTGACAGCAGAAACATGGCAGGTATTCTGCAGCAGTCGCTGAGGTGCACCCTCTCAGGTATGCCGGATAAAACCCGGAATTTTGTTTGTGCTTTTTTTTTCCAAAACCACTTTTATTGTATGGTATTGATTACTCTGTTCCTGTGGTGATCTCTAGTTTGCTGAGTAAAAGTCTCAAGGTTGTTGTTCCCCCTCCCCAATAGTTAAAACTGGAGCAAAGGTCGCGGGTAGGATCGGTGCGAAGAATTTGTAGCCAGGTTTGCAGGTTTTTACCTGCTTAACTGCTTAAATTTAGGAAGCGCAATTATGCAAAGTTTTCCTACGAATCGTGCATCCTGTCTAAAACTCTGACCTCTAAAATGGAGTGTAAAGACGCCGTTTGATGTTGGTGGTCTTGATCTTTTTTGTAATCGAGAACAAATGTACACTTTTCAGGAGCAATGTTCTCACGGTTTGGAAAGTGAAGAAAATGCAGTTCAACCCATAAACGCTCAGTTTAAAGGCTGTCATGCACAATCGCTTTTGTCCTGTTGCACTGTTCATTTGTTGGTTATATTCTGCATCGGAGTGGGCGGAATGGGTAAAGGTCTCCTGGAGATTACTATTGGTGGGTTGCAAACCCTCGCCGATGCCAGGTCATTCAGCAGCTGGCCTGAGCAGGATTTGGACCTTAGGGGTAATAAAGACGGGAGACTACAACTGCATGGGTGATAAACCGCACACGGTCGCAAGGGCTGAGCAGTGAAGGTGTGCTTGATCGTGTCACAGGCGGGCGGTCCCTGTTCTCCACGCTCACCAGAGATGCGACTCGTTCGTGGACGCTTCCCGGCATCGCGGCAAGCCGGAGGAACGCCTCGGCCAGCTCAAAAATTCAGGTGGAAATGGACAGCAGCACAGGTACAGTCTCGTTTGTCTCATAGATCTGCCTGCTTTGCTACAGTCCACGGCCCAGGTGCAGCAGTTATCTCTTATTTTCCGCCGGTTTTGTCGGTACCTGAGCTCTTCTCTTTTCATTTTCATCATGTAAAGTGGCTGCTGCTGTGGACTAAGTACTTCCTCCTCCTCCATCAACTTGCCCACTGGTGAGATCCTGTCCCGGTCCATCACAGACGTACATCTAACAGATTTGGACCCAGCTTTCCCCTTGATCAGAATATGGATACATTGCCTATTTAACCAATTTTAATTCATTTAATGGGATTGAGTGCTTGATGGCGGTCAACATCTTTGTCTCGGTTGCTTTCTGACTCCACGAGGTGTTTTGGGGAAAAATGCCATTTAAAGATGTCTGATTTATCTGCAATTTTGACATCCCTGAGGAATTTGCTCCCCTGACAGAGAATGGGAGTCCCAGGCCTTTACTCTCGCAGGGAACGGTTACCCTAGCTGGAGTTCAAGAAGAAGAAACCGAGAAGCATGTTCTGCTCCGTGTGTTGTGCAGGCATCGCCGTGGTGACGATGCAGAGCCCCCCGGTGAACAGTCTCAGCCTGGACGTCCTCACCGAGTTCTGCATCAGCCTGGAGAAGCTGGAGATGGATCGGGGCTGCCAGGGAGTCATCCTAACCTCTGTGAGTCACTGCCGCATTCTCCTCTTAGCGATCGCTATGGGCAGGAAAGGCCAGAACCCAGGCCTACAGAGGTCCACAACCAAATCTGGCCCATCGTCGCATGGGCAGGGGTTAGTCCAGTGCCGGACCTTTCTGGCTGTTCTGCGTGCGTGTTGCATGTTGGTGGGGCTTCTGAAACCCTTGGCTAATAAAGAACCACAGTGTTTTGGTGAGGCAATAAGACGACTGCTCAATAGCCAACCTGCAGCTCCTTTAGCAAATCACCTGTAATGGCTTCATGGACACACAGTTCTCACTGTATTCAGCATACTGCACTACTTGTATGTATTGCATACACCATGGACACATAGCAGCTCTGCTCATATTGAGTTTTATTCAATTTCTATTACATCTATTATTATGTAACCTTAATGTTGTGATTTTTGGGATTCTTGTGCTTTTTGTGAGCTCGCAGAAAAGAAATTTCAGTGCCAGCACCTGCTGCTGCTGCACGCTGTATTGTTGTGCATGTGATAAATAAACTTTGATCTGATGTCATCAAGGAGAAGGGCTTCCTGGTAGCCAGTAGTCAGGGCTCCTCTGGGCTTGACCGCTCCTGGCCAGAGCTGTCAGGGTGGCTGAATTGAGCCTTATGGATGACTCCTGTGTGGCCCACTGCCGTGCTTTCTCTCTTTCTGCTTCAAATTAAAACAAAAGCGTGTTGGACCAAGCTGCTGAGAACGCCCCTATGTAAGATAGTAAAAAATAGACACGCGTCGGTGTTGAAACACCTTTTTTGTTTCTAATGATCTTCAACTGGGTCAGTGCCTCCCGGCAGCAGGTGTTTGCTGATCTGATTTCAGCCTCTGTGGGCTGTATGTTTCTCTGTGTGACTGGGTGGTCCCCCCTTGTGTGTCCCCGCAGTCCCTCCCGAAGATTTTCTCTGCAGGGCTGGACATCACGGAGATGTACGGCAAGAGTCCGGAGCACTGCGCGGAGTTCTGGAAGGCAGTGCAGGAGCTGTGGCTGAAGCTCTATGGCTCCAGCATGGTTACGGTGGCCGCTGTGAACGTAAGTTCAAACAGGTCGCCTGTGCCCGGCCAGCTCAGAGGCAACCGAGCACGGCGATCAGAGGAAATCCCCGTGGGCAATTAGCAGCTGGTTTCTGATGGCCTGAACCGATTTAAACTGCTCACCAGTCCATTTCTGATTGAGCAAATCAGTCTGCCAGCAGAATGAGCTGTCTCAAAGTCGCGCGGCAATAATCTGGTCACGATTGGGTTTTGAAATGTTCTGAACCGGAAGGTACTGGGTGCCAGTAGGTACAAATTCAACCTTTTTTCCTGGAGTTTCCTGAGTGGTCCTCAAACCTCGAATTCCTTTAAATGAAGTTTTCTACTGATGAATGCAGGACAGTTTTAACGAGATTAGTTGACTGGTGAGTCTCGCTCTGATTACAGGAAGTCTTACTTTTTTCCGTTCTGCTTCCTTCTGCGTGCACTCAGGGCTCCAGTCCTGCTGGGGGCTGTCTCATGGCTACCTCCTGTGACTACAGAATCATGGCTGACAATCCCAAGTACGGCATCGGCTTGAACGAGACACAGCTGGGGATTGTCGCCCCCTTCTGGTGAGTCTGGGTATGGGGGTATGTAGTCTTCTGCATTATACCTTTGTAACGCAATGAACACTCCTTTTGTCTTCACTAGGTAACAGAATATTATCTGAGTTATCTCATGATAAATGTATAATTGTACATGGGCAAATGACAAGAGTAAAATTCCAGTGAAATGGGCAGTGTTACCTGTCGAGCTGAGGGAAAACCGCGGCTGCAATGTTCTGTGGAAAAGCAGCTAATTTCATTTCCTAATTAGCAGGAGGATCTTAGTGTTTTGAACTGGGAAAGGGAATCTGACGAAGACAAGTGTAAAAGAAAAAAAGTACACGCCTAGAACATGGAACACAGAAATACTGGGCAAACATATCTGGAAATGTGGAGTCGGAGATACTGTTTTTCTGCCTTTTGATTTACTATAGATTCAAGCAGCATGGACGGCACTTCAGTGGAAAAGGGATTCAGTTCAAGGAGCTGAAATGGAAGGAATAGGTGTTTTTCTAGCCTGAGAGTTAAATGCTTGCAGATTGTCAGTATCCCAGAAGGCGCTGTGGGATCTCTGTCCCCGTCGCTTGGCTTGTGAGTGGGTCGACGCTGACCTTTGCCCCCTGCAGGTTCAGGGACACCATGGTGAACACGGTGGGGAACAGGGTGGCGGAGCTGTCTCTGCAGCTGGGCCTGCTGTACAGTGCCCCCGATGCCCTGAGGGTCGGCCTGGTGGACCAGCTGGTCCCCGAGCAGGAGGTCCTGAGAACAGCCAAGGACACCATGGCCAAGTGGCTCGCCATTCCAGGTCAGGAACCCCCTCCTACTGCTGCTGCTGCTGGCACGCCTGTGCTGGTCAGGGTCCCTCCGACAGAAACCGCTTCTTCCAGCTCTTACTTTTATTGAGCTCTTTATTGGATCTCGTTTCGATACCGGACATCGATAGGAAAACAAATCTCAATCTGGGGCCAAATCATGCAGAGAATAAAAAAGCCGACAGTGCTTGTGAATATTTGTTATGTGATCTAAGCGTAACATTTTTTGGTGCGCAAAGGAACAAGTAAAGGTTTATTCCATGCTGAAAAGAGAAGAAAAGAAACACAACGTTTTGGCTGTGGAGCCTTTTCAGGTGTGTTTTTACGGTGTGTTACACTTAACCGGTCCATCCTTCTAACATAAGACACAACAGGACAGAAGAGAGAATCTCAGGTTATACAGTACATACATCTGAGCTCCAGGAATAGATGTCTGATAAATTCATGTCTAGACTTAACAGATTTAGATATGGACTTTTTTAATTTGTTTCTTAAAGTTTTTAGCTCATTGTAGCTCTGGTGAGCTCATTATGGTAATCTTTTTGTTCGTTAAAAACAACGTATCAAAGTGATTGTTACATTTTGCGTAGTAAAGAAGCATTTCTTAAGCTTTGCACACATTTAGACATAAGCAAGAGGGAAGCTAGGTTTGTACAGCCAAGTCACTTTGATACTACTTCCAGAATGTTTAACCTGTCTTGGCTGTATTTACATACACCACTGTATCAACAGCACACAAGTAGAACAGACTAAAGGAAGATCAGTCATGCAGATAATTACGATCCAAGTGTAGATGCCACATTGTATAGCTCCTAAATGTTGTATATTTGATTCCAAAAGCTACAGTATCTATCCACCAAATAGAATCTTATTTAATTGAATGAATTTCTGATTTCAGTGCAGTGTGAATACTTGCTGTGTTTGCCTGATTAACATGTTTTGTTCTCGGCACAGGGATTCTAGAAAGGTCTTCTGATGAGTGTTTTTCATCCACTAATGGAAATATTTAACATCTGTAGAGGATTTAGTTCCCCTGAGGAAAAGTGGCCATTATGGTTTATACAAGCAGCTTCTCGCACGGTGCTTGGTTTTGTAGTTAGCCTTTGCCTAACCAATCGAGCTGAGCCAGGGCTTCATTCAGTTTGGAGTGTGAACTGCTTTTCAGAGTGACTTTGCTTCTCCTTTGTTGCAGACCATGCCCGTCAGATCACCAAGTCCATGATGCGAAAGCCAACCATCGACAAGCTGCTGTCGCACAGGGAAGCTGACATCGCCAACTTTGTCAGCTTCATTACGAAGGACTCGATACAGAAGTCACTGAAGATGTACCTGGAGGGGTTAAAAAAGAGGAAGAACTGAAAGCGAAGGCAGAACGGAGTAAACAGTGTCTGAATAATGCCTGATAATCTTGTTCAGGTCATTCTTTTGTTAACGGCCTTCAAAGGCAAGATGTTATTGTCCTTTCAGAAACATAGTATTTTTATCGGAATCAAAACTGTTTTTAAAAGCTCTTCTACAGTATGTATGGCTTCTATGCTAATGGTTTGAGATTATAAACTGTTTTTCACTTTATTCATCTGGGTGCTCTCTCTGATTCTGAAGCATTTTGCCATTTGGAACCACCTATCTTTGCAGGTAGAAGAAAATGGTTCCTTCAGCTCCAATCTAGACAAATCGATACAGCTGAGAACCTTAATCACTGATGTTCTGTTTTTTTTATTTTCCTTAATAGTTTCTTTTAGATAAGGTAAATCAAAAGCTGGTGCACTCTGGAAAAAAATGCTATATTATAATAAACCAAGTAGTTCAAGAGAAAGGGAAGAACCTGAGAAGTGTGCAGTCTGGCTCTGGGATGCTGGTCGACACTTTCGATGGGAGCTTTGCACAGGAGTAGGAAGGACAGCGGTCTTTACGAAGAGCAGTTGGGTGGCAATTAGCCTGTATTTAAAATCTAGATTATAACTGTGGCATGACAAGCGCAGGGCAGACTTTGATGGGACCAAGAAGAGAGATCAGAAATTAAATTACATGCAGGTTAAAGGCTGGTCCTCCCCTCCTCTCCTCTCTGATCTCAGCCTTGGTGCAGCGGGACAAGACCTCAAGGCTCATCAGAGGAAAGCAGCTGCGTAATGGATTCTGGTGCCACTTTAATGCTTTCTAGTTGGCTTATGAACTCTTCATGACAGGAGCCAATGCATAGCCCCTGGTGTGTGAGCGATCAGACCATGCTTCTGTCTTTGAAAGGGTTCCATCAGCTGCATTTTATGTGCCATGACTAGTTTTTCCACTGTCACTTTTAACCGCCCTATATAAATAACACAAGTTACTATTTAACACTCCCATTCCTAATGGAAGTGATCAAACAGGAATTACTTCACTTTAAAAGAATTCATTCCAAACCCAAGATGGACGCAGAAAAGGGCTTGATTTATCAAAGAACAATGGCCTTCATTAAATGCTCAGTTTACTTTATTATTGAGCACATTGAACTGAATAGTCGGATTTCAAGCAGAGCAGAGGAAAGCCTTTGGCCCATTCTGCAGGTGGGAAGCAGGACTGGAGCTCAATGTATCTTGAGTTGGACTTCAACAGGGTAGTGGTCACTGACAGCCAGAGCCTGGGGACAGAGAGAGTTGTCAGGGTCAGTTCACTGAATGTGGCTCTTTAACATGCCTTCACTGCAAGCAGACACATGGTATGCTCTGCCAAATAAGGAAGCTTACACGCTACAAGGGGTTATAGGAACTGTCTGGCTTCCCTCTATGTTAGTCGCTTGTTAATATGAGAACTTTGGGGAAATTATGAATGGTAAAAAGTTTCAGGAATCTAAACCACTTCATGCAGGTTCTTGCAAGTGAGAAATGCAGTCTTACCATGGCTTGGCTGAGTCCGTATGTGGTCATGAAGTCAAAAACAGTAGCAGACCCAGGAACGACACCTTTCATCATGTCCGTTCCACTGGCAACAATCCTGTGTGGGCAAACACACAGCTCTGTGATGCATGTCCACACTGTAAAGGATGAGTCGGGCAGCTCTCTAAGTCTTATACGCACAGTTCAGCTCAAACTGTGTATACTGAGGTCTCAGTGTTTTTCCATTTATCAAAAAGAACAAGCCTGCCACGAAGAAACTGAAACCCCTGCAGATATAGAGACCTCCACCTGATTCTGTCAGAGAGATGCAAGACTGGAAAATCCTGCAAGAATGGACTATATTATCAAGGTTTTTATTCATTTTAATGAGCTGTTTTCCATCATCTCTCTGTAACATGTGGTGAATGCTGAGCTGGACGCTTAGGAGTATATAAGTGTCTATATATTATATTGTATAAGACGCTTATAATGTAAGTGTCACTTATAATATATAAATGCCGTTTTAATACTACTGTACTCAATGGTTGTAGAAAATTCATGCTTGTTGGCTTAAAACATGTGTGCCTTGCCAGGAATATTGTCTGCTGCTGCCATCACAGGGCACACGTCTGCTTCAGGCAGGCAGTACTGTGAAGGACAGGAAGAGAATATCGCAGGGAGTTTCTTTCCTTCTGACCTGTCGTAAGTGCAGATTGTGTTGGTGACAGTGGTGTCAATGCCCGTGTCCAGGAGCCAGCTGTATCGCGGGTCAGTGTACAGACGGATCCGGGCCCAGTCCGAACGCTGTACGTAGCCACAGTCAGCATTGAAGTCTCCCAGCAGGAGGATGTTCTGGAACACAGACAGGCAAATCACCACCTGCTCAGGCAAAGGGGCTGGGATCCGGCTGCCAAAAACAGCTTGTTCAAAGGCTAGATTGGTACGGGTACGGGTGACATCACACGCTTAATGCCCTTTGACCCTTCATTTGTCAGACAAGTTCACCCAGCACTGTGGGAGGGATGGCGACGAAAGCCTGTGATTCAGGTGGAAACTGAGGTGCGTTTCTATCATCATCTGTCAGGTGAATCCTTGCCAGGACAGTGAGCTAGTGCTCACACTTTTAAAGATGTAAATAAACCCACCCGCACCAGTTTGGCCACAGTGAAACTCCCTGCTAGCTCATCAGGTGTCTTCCAGTGGCACTTGCATACGCCAGACACAATGCTGATGGTTTTCTACATCGTTTTCTTCTCATGCAATGTTTATGGGCCTCTGCAGATTAAACTGCAGATAGGAACAAGATATTTGAAAGCGAGAATGAATTTTAATAAAAGCTGCAGAGGCATACTTCCATTCTTTTTCTACTTCTATTCCTTCAGACAGGAGCAATAGAAGATAAACTGGGTCACTGCCCGGGCAGATCTTTCTATTCTTCTGAATCCATTCTATTTCATCATTATAATGACGGTGCCAACTCGACATAGTTTCGACTTACATCTGTATTCCAGATGTTTCTTACATGCGCAGCAACATCGTAGAGAGCATCAATCTCCTTCACTGCAGCTTCAGGAGAGGTGTGCTGGGGGATGAGCACGAATTCCTGAACAACTGAAGAGAGAAGACGAGTCTCACTGTGGATCCTGGCCACACTGGAACTCAGACAGACAGGAGCAGCAGAGAACATCACCATATCAAAGTGGGCACACAACAGTCCAGATTCCCTACAGCGACACCAGTAATGACCAGGGGGATCACCTTCCTCTGGCCCTGCATAAATGAGAAATCGGCGCTGCAAAAGGTGGGTTTGTGTGTGCTCCGTTTTGGGATTGGAGTTTTGCTTTTCTTGCTTTGTCGTGGCTGCTTATTTTCATGATCTTTTAATGATTGTAAAGCCCCTTTCATTACAAAAAATGTCTCGGGGTGCCCTACTGAAAAATAACTGATGGGAAAGGACACAAAAATTAAATTATTACGAAAAGTCAGTTTGAACAAATAGGTTTTGAGGCCAGATTTAAAATGATCCAATATGTCTGATTGCTTTATATTTTTTGGAGTGCGTGCCACAGCACACCAGAATACCTAGGCTGCAGACATCTCACCATCTATAGCGTTGCATCATCCAGGTGGGGCTGCACACTGGTGGTGGTGGAGGGGATCCCCATTACCTGTAAAGCTCTTTGAGTGGAGCATCCAGAAATGCGTGTTATACTGTAAGTGTAAGGAATTACTATTGGCCCTGTCACTTGTATTCTGTAGACTGGTATCAGGGGCTTCCATCAGTGAGCAGACATAACCTGTGCAATGTGGTAGGCCTCTCTGTTGCTCACCAGCAGGGTTTACCTGAGTGAGGTGATGAAAACATCACCACGAAGGGCTCTCTGTTGAATGTGTCCGTCCCACAGGGCTCACAGCCATCGTCATACTGGAAGCTTTCAACCACAGACACTGTTTCATCTCTGGGTAAAAAAAACAATTCCCATCTGTCTATGTATGCATGTTGCCATTGAGGTGGAAAAAACCTCGGGATTCATTTTTTAATTTGGGGGATTGACAAACTGATTTTTAAAACCTCTGAAATGCCCTGCATTCTCGCCTTCAGCGTGTCCAGAGCAGGTGGCTTTTTTAGCATTTAGTTGTGGTCTTGTTGCAAAATTGATTTTCTGCATTGCTGAGCATTGGGGGCAGCAATCAATAGAAAAACAGGCTCTCTGGGGACACTCACCTGTAGATAAATAGGTATCTCTCCTTGTAGGAGCTCCTGCCCAATGGCTCACTTATTATATGCCGGTAGACATGAGGTGATGACCCCCTGAGGAACAACAGCTTATCAGAAAACAGTGATGTAGTGTAGATGCACCAAAGCTAATTAGGGTGCATGTGGATAAAAAATTGATTTGAAAGAGGTCAATGTATTCCTCAACGCTCAGATATACCTTGTCAGACTTATTGTTTCAATATTATCATCAGCAGACATCAGGCATCTATCTAGAGGGAGGAGCACTCTTTATAGAGTACTTCCCACCAAGTCTGGTTTACTTCAATAAATTGTTTTCCACATTTTGTAAGGATAAAAATCTGAATAGCCTGCACAAACTATTCAATTACCATCCTGAAAGAAGCAGCACATGTTTGTTTTCTTATTAAAATGGGGTGAAAGTTTGACCAGATTTATTACGTACTGTATACAAGCCCTAATCTTATTTCTAAAGCTGCAGTGGATGTGCACAGGTAGCCTGGTTCTGCGGGATCACTTTCCTGACCTGTTCAGAGCTTCCATCAGGCTGGTCGTAGCAGACAGGTCGCTGTCTCTCACCTCCTGAATTAACACGAGGTCATACCTCTGCACTGTCTGTCAAAGACAAGGGACACGACCCTGAGCAGACATGCATGTACATGTGAAGTAGTCTGTTCTTCAGACATATTCTTCCAAAACACTTCACAAACAGTAAAGAAGTGCCGGACTAATTTGCAAGTGAGAGACTAGGAGCGTCTAATGAATAATACAATGCAAGCTGAAGATCATTTCTTTGCATTCATTGAGAAGTTGCAAAGTACTGCAGTCTGTTTCATGAGCTCAGATGCGCTCATAAACAAGTCCTGCAGCATTCATCTATATTCTGAAGCCATGAACATGAAGAAACATTCAAATGTTATGGGTTTTTGCATCTAGCCAGAAATAAACCATATCTGATGCCTTTTTAACTTTTAACACTAACACATCAAGGCAAGAGCAGAGTAAACTGTGTAGTAAATCACAGTAAAGCCTGGAGTATCATGTCATAGCTCAATAATAAACATAGGAAACACTGGAAGGGACCCCAGCCACCTTTGAAACCTTTCCAAAGTTAAGTACTTACTTTAACAATGATGTCAAGTAAAGTGGCATTTGAGACTTTTTTGTTCCCAAAGGCTCTGATGTTGAAAGCTCCAATCAACAGCGAACAGGTGGTCACTTCCACAAAGATCAACAGGAGCCCCACGGTGCACAGCCTCCTCACCAGCATCCTGTACCAGGGCAGAAGACGTTCACTGGACCAGCCTGACGCAGCACAGACACTCACACTCAGACCTTAATTCTCCTAGCTGCTAACCACACCTCAAAAGAACCGAAAGATTTGGTTCCTCCAGAGGATTTTGTGCAGCAAACAGAGTTACGACATCAACATGATCACATTTCAGTGAAGCGGCTTAATTCACACCTACACCTTTTCAAGCGCTTACATGTTAATATTCTATCATGATAGTGTTCTACTTGCATTTCAGGGAACAACATGAATTGATTAAGTGCACTCATCTTCATGTCTAAGGTCGAAAAATCATTCCTTTACACGTGTCTCTGTTGCCAGGGTATGTTTCTACCTGCTTTTGTGCTTCGTCCTCTTCAGTGTTTCTTACAGTGATAAGGAGAGCCTTGTGTTCTTTATATAGCCAAGCCCTCCTCTTCGACAGTATGCTGTGACCCACGTGATAGAAAGGAATCTGAACTTGTTTTCCGCATGTGGAGAAGACTGAAAACCAAAAGCAAAAATATGCAGAGCCCTCTGTTAATCAGCAACAACTTTCCCCACAATTTATCCCTTTTTAATTTCATCTTAACGATACTGCCTCCCTGAATCCAACAATGCATCTCAAGGAATGGTATCCTCCTTTTCAACCTTCATCAAAATGACCAGGATCCAAGGATTGAATTGATCTTTTTTTAAGATGTTTGTTTGCAACTTTGTGTTGTTTTGCTGCTTTGTATTTGCATATCCTGAATTGTCCTCTGGTTTGTTGTTGTTTGTGGTATGTGTGTATAGAACTGTGAGTCAATGAGAATATTCATCTCCATCTCCTCTCCAGCCTGGTGCCAGAAGCTCCAAGGGAAGAACTCCTGCTCAGCCTACGGGTTCACATCTGCCGTGTTCTCACCCCTGTCACCCAGCCCAGCACAGGCCCAGTCTTTGCATGATTACTGATTAAGTACAACCCAACGGCCTCTTACTTCAGTAAAGTAAGAAATGGAATAGGCTGTCCCCACTTACACAACAAACTGACAAGCACTGCAGAGTTCTGGGGCCTTCAGAGTTCTCACATCTCACCAGCTATTTTCCTGAAGGGCAGGTTCGAGAATTGCAGTGATGTGATTCTGCTCGACCCGTTTTGTGAGAAAAAAGAAGTGTAGCCTTGCTGAATACCTGAATATACCTGAATGAAAGTCCAAGGAGTTTCAGCCTTTTAGTCTCCAAAAGGGGTTCACTATGTTGTACTGCAATAAAAAGGTTTTGTGTGTGTGTAGGGTAGAGTACAGAGTGATCAATATCAGTGATGCATTACTATTATCTTACTATATAGTAATATAACATTTACTTTATAGTAAAGTATAACATTTACGTTTACAGTATAAGGAAGTAAGAGTGCAGTACTCAATAATAACTGCTACACTCTGAGATGAACAAGTTTAACCATGACCTTGAATGCTATGCTAGTAAACAGAATTTTTAAAAACATAGAAGCCAATATTAGCTATGTTAAAAATAGAGTCAAACAGAAATTGACATGAACCATGAGGGTGTCTGTTTAATATTTAATCTGCTGGTGGGCCGTTTTTCAGTTCATCATACACTCTATAGTGGTTCTTAGCCCTTTTCCCCATTGGAGAACAGTTAATAAGCCTCTCTTGCTAATGCTCCCACTGCTCCTTAAAAAACGAAAGGTAACAGAGTGAACAAATACCTTGTTAGTCTTCCACCTCTCCACTTCCACAGACTGAACCCTAATATAATCGGGGTATCATTGTAACAAAGCCGACCCAGGCAGGGTAGACTAATGTGGAGGGTCCCACTCCACCTCCTGATACAACGAATATTTTTTTAGCACAGCCACCTGAGCTACTACCATGCCTTTGGGAGATGGATTAAGTCTGGGGGACAGAGAAAAATCCACACAGACACAGGAAAGTCATGCTGATCCCATACAAGGGAACCCAGCTCAGAGATGAGCTCTGGAACCTATAAGTACAAAGCAGCACGACTACCTGCTGGTAATTTTTGTACTTAAATAATCCCAATACCTAACAGAATGATATCTACAGCTATGCACAGAAGTACAGACAATGCTACTAACAATGTCATTCAGTAATTTATTTAGCGTTTGTGTTAAACATTACAATATTGTTTTTTTTTTTCACTGCAGAGCTACTGGTGAGCAGTCATCCTAGATAGTGTGTTGAGAGACAGTGAATTTACTAAATACGTTACAGAATATATTTTTCTGAGTTTCTAATTGAAAATTATTGAACGGGGCTCTGAACTCGTTATCGGAAATGAATAGTGTCAGTATCCACTCTGCAGCGGTTATGTCCTCTTATACAATAAGCGAGACTTGTGTGAGGAAGTTTGTCCTAAAAGGGCCGCCGTACTGCAATCTCGTTTGATATCCCGAGCACAGCGAAACTCTTTGTGTACCTCGTTTGGAATTGTTTTTTTTTCTTTATTTTTTTTCCATTAAAACAAGAGGATGTCTGGGTGGCATTGAACAGAAAGGTAAAACAAGCTATGGCTGAGTTTGGGCTGTATGTTTTAAGAAAACACAGGGAAACGTGTTTCAAGTGTGTTGCCCGTTCCGTGTAGGCCGTGTGTGAGGGTAATGCCTGGGAGTCGCTTCGATGGTCAGTCCGACTGTGTATGGACACTGCTTCGGGGATTTTGTCGTTAATGAAACTGACGTAAGATTTTAAAAAAATGTGACTTTTTATCTCCAAAGTTAAACTTAAGGTATTATCATATAGCGTTACGTTTATTATGTTTTATACAAAAATTAAATGTAGTAAATCATCTAACGGAGACCTGGCATTATAGTAGTGTTAGTTATACTAAGGATCTCAGGTGTTGTGGTTGACGAATCAAGATGTAAGCCATGTTTTTTTTTTTAAGTTCTAAAAACTATATTATGATTCAGAGTTGATATATGCACAGTAGAATAAATGTGAAAAAAAACGGACTAGTTCAAGTGGAACTTCAGGCGTGAAGGCATCTGTAACTTAAGCGTGTAGTACTGTTTTCATCTCGGTGAAGCAGGGATGTCTACACATTTAACCATATGAAAAGATTTGAATGAAAACTGTCATCTTTGCCTTCACGACATTCGTTTAGGGGCTGTGCAGTGGCATGTCCATACAGCTTCACAGCCACAGTTCTGGTGTGGACCGTAGGGTCCTCCACGCTCTGGTGTGGTAAACGCGCACACTATGGTTTCTTTCAGGACACAATGAGTGACATCCGCCATTCCCTGCTCCGCCGAGATGCCCTGAGTGCTGCCAAGGAGGTGCTGTATCACCTTGACATTTACTTCAGCAGCCAGCTCCAGAGCACAGCCGTTCCCATTGTGGACAAAGGAACCCTTGAGCTTGTCGAGGAGTTCATATTTCATGTTCCTAAAGAACGCGGTGTTCTGCCAAAGGTAAAACCCAGCAGAGTTTGTACATTTGTTTAAGTGCTGTTGTGAAACTGTTTGCATCTATACTGAGAATGTAATGTGTCAGTGTTTGATCAGACCTAAACCTGAACGACACAATTGTAACAGTATTGTCTCCCTCACCCATGTTCAAGCCTTGTTCATTCCGTGAAATTTTATGCCATTAGGCCAACAGCTTTGAGTATAGATTAGGTATTTGGGATACTGCCTAAAGGATTGTGGGTTCGAAATACAGGGTACGATGCATTTGTTAGCCCGGGAAGAAAGTCCAGGCCTTCACATGGAGAGTTTGTGTTGACCGATTCCTAACTCGTCCCTCTCCCTCCCCCAGAGGATGAGCTCCCTGCAGGAGCTGCAGCTGCTGGAGATCATGTGCAGTTATTTCCAGGAGCAGAGCAAGGACGCCGTGCGCCAGGTTATCTTCTCTGCTCTCTTCAGTCCTCAGGGCAACAAGGCCGACGACAGCAGGATGGCCATGCTGGGGAAGCTGGTCTCCATGGCTGTGGCTGTCTGCAGGGTGCCCATTCTGGAGTGTGCCGCTCTGTGGCTGCAGGTACAGCGATCAGCAGGAGTTAATGCTGGGCAAAGCATGATCACAAAATTGCGGATTTGCATTTTATCGACCAATGTGTGTCTCATTTTTTACATAGCGCCTTTTAAAGACCTAACATCATACTGACCTTACATATGGTAGGTTACGGTAAGTGTGTAGTGCAAGAATCCAGTAAGCTCCCAATAAGCAATAAAGATTCCGATTTTTTTAACTTAGAAACATACTATTTGCATTATAGGCTAAATATTTTTGGGGGAAATTCGGTGGTGAGACCTTGAGTGATGGTGTGTTTTGAAAAAAATAAATCAGATTTTTTTCTGTGTCTTTTGGGCAACCCAGTTTCTATATAAGCAGTTTCTGTTAGGTGTAATCTGGGACAGATACAGTATCGTAGCAGATAAAAGCGTTTGAGAGGGGCTAGTTGTGAGTCTGGGCCATGGGAAAGGAGCAGATGTGTTCTGTCAGGAGAAAGTCAGGCCAAACATCAGTTTTAAATAGGTTGAGTGCCAGACGCTGAAAGTGCTGTTGCTTTTGGTAATTTTCCATGCCATTCTTTTTTCGCAGAGAACCCACGCTATCTACTGCGTCAGGCTTGCCAAGGTCCTAGTTGATGATTACTGCAGCTTGGTGCCAGGGTCAGTGCAGACCCTCCAGCAGATCTTCAGTGCCAGCCCCCGGTTTTGCTGCCAGTTCATCACTGCCGTTACAGCACTCTTTGACATGTCCTCAGGTATTGAACCCATGTGAACAAGTATGTTTTTCATCTGATTCCCAAGGTCTGATCCAAGATTAATTTCATTTCTTTAGCTGGCCATTTCCCTTTGGCTACATACTGCATTTCAGAGAAGCGTTTCTAAGCACAAGGAAGTACATTCTTGTTCCCATTAAGTGGATGCATCATGTACTGGAGAGAGTGTACATTTCCTTGTGCGTGTGAAAGAGTAATCCTACAAACGCACACAGCTTCAGCCAGAAATACAGCATCATGCAGTTTGGATTCAAATGAGATCTGTGGCGGCTGGCGTGTGTACCACATCCGATCATTTGCGGCACGTCCTGTTTTGCATCTGTAGTTATCAAGAAGACATTTGTCTTGCAACAGGGTTAGCCACCTGCTCTCTTTGATTTGTCAGAATCAAAAAATTTGTCAGAAAAGGGGTCTTGACACTGCTTCTTCTTTGGGGGGGGGGGTTTGGTGTTTTGTTTTGAGTAGATGACTTGATCCCCCCTAATGACCTGCTGGAAATGGTTGTCACCTGGATCTTTGACGACCCCCGGCTGACCCTCATCACTTTCCTCAACACCCCCATTTCGGCCAACCTCCCAGTGGGCTGCCTGGACCTCACCCCCCTGGTGGGTCTGGTGCGCTGGTGTGTGAAGGCCCCCTTGGCCTACAAGAGAAACAGGAAACCTGCTCTCACCAATGGACACATCAGCAAACTGTCCAAAGAGGAGAAGGAGGAGGAGGGTGTTGGGGACAGAGACTTGCTGTACTCCAAGCTGCATCTGAGCATCCTGCAGGTCCTCATGATGCTCCAGGTGCACCTGACGGAAAAAAACCTCTTTGGGCGTCTTGGGCTGCTTGTGTTCGATCACATGGTTCAGCTGGTGGAGGAGCTCAGCAGGCTGGTGGATGAGCTCAATCCCCTCAATGCCACCAAGGAGACAGAGCTTTCTTTGGACAGGCTGGCTCAGGCCCTACAGGTGGCTGTGGCATCGGGGGCACTGTTGTGCACCAGAGGTAGGTATCCGATCGGTTTTTGATTCCATTGATCTGATTGTCATTTTGCAGGAACCAAAACGCCACGTCGTGCATTTTATTTTCTTAATTTTCTTCAGCTATGGTACAGTACAGGCTGCTTTATTTTACCTGTTGTTTTTGGAACCACAGTCGTGCTGCCTTTAGTGCATTTGCAGGAGCATGTAACAGAAATCATTAGCTTCAAGCATGCATGCAATACCCAGGGCTAAATTATAGTTATAGTGCACTTTGTCTCAGTAAAGCAATTTTTTTGCTTCCTTCTTAGAGCAAAGACCGATGACCTTCTGTTTGGAATCGAAACAGACTTTACTGCCGGAACAGGCTTTGCTCATTTGGAAGTATAATAAATGACACGCATTAATTTTCGGTCTGGAACTAATTTTTTTTTAATGGAAAATGTTTATTTTTTTAAACAGAGGACCTGAGGTCTCTATGCTCCAGGCTGCCCCACAACAAGTAAGATGCGATGCTCTCTACCTACAGTTGAGGATAACCTCATTTTTATTAGTGCTCTTTCTCATTTGTCAAATAAAGCAGTAATGAAAATGTTTCAGGCGGGTAGCTGCATCAGCTTGCGTAGGCTGCAAAGGAACAAGTAGTAGGTTTATTCCATGCTGAAAAGAGAAGAAAGGAAACACAATGTTGTGGCTGTGGAGCCTTCTTTGGGTGAAGAAGGCTCCACAGCCGAAATGTTGTTTCCTTTCTTCTCTTTTCAGCAAGGAATAAACCTATTACTTGTTCACATGATCAGAAAATAGCAGACAGATCGGTATTTTGGGTTGGGAGATTTATTTATTTAAAGTGTCAGAACCTGGACAGACGGAATTATAGTAATTCGCTTATTATTCTTTTCATCTTTTTAAAACCAGGTCGGGTAATGTGATTGTTTGTTTTTCCTTTCACAGTCTGCTTCAGCTGGTCCTGTCGGGGCCCGTGCAGCAGCAGCCCCCTCATTCCGCGTTCCAGCCTGGATTCTACCCCCACATCCACACCCCGCCGCTGGGCTACCCGGCCCGGCCCACCCCGCCGGCCCATTCCCAGCATCCCGCACACCCCCCACACCCGCCGCACAGTGCCCTCCCAGCACACCCAGTGCAGCCCTTTCTCCCAGGCATGGCGTTCCCCTATCGCCCCATTCGCTAGCACCGCGCTCAGCCCTCAATGCCGGGCGAGACCGGGCACTAACATTACAACAGCACCTCTACGTCTCTCCCACGCCAGCACGCGTGAACCCCAGTCTTCTGCAAAGGGAACGTCTGCAATACGACCAGCTTTCAGGCCGTTGGTTTGGAAATTGTTGAAAGTTTACCCGTGTTCAGGCTTTTATGTTTTTTTATTATTTGTGTCTGTGGAGAACAGATGTCAAGTTCCAAAGGAGGTTTTTGATAAAGAAATCAATCTTGGCTTTCATAGGAACCACCGTGATATTTCCAGATAATTCAGGACTAGAAGTCATTGTTTGCAGGGTTAATTGAGAGCACAAGACTGATACAAACAGGGAGAATTGGGAAGGAAAAACTCACGTTTTAATGACTGGAGCGGGTCGTTCTTGAAAGGTGCGTTTAATAAACAGTGGAAAAATAAAAGTAGACGACTGCGTGTTTTTCCGAGCGTAGGTGAATTTTAAGCAGGGTTTGAATGTCAAAATACAGTGCATAATTTAACGTAACGACTGCCCCCTGTAGGTGTTAGTAAATGCATCTATTAAAAAGGACATTTACAAGATCAATTTGTATAATGTAGTAACAAATGGAATGACTGTTTCACAAGGTCTTGTAATGATTCTGTATGATACAGTAGAACTGTACAACAGACTAGGGATTTGTGCTTCAGTCAGAAGTGCTTTCCATTAATTCAGCTTCTAAAGCACAGTTTGAGTGGAATATGAACGTGGTGAATCGTCTGTTTAACTAAATGGCTTTTTTACACTGTCCAGAAAAAAATGAAAGAATCTCAGTAATATACACAGCGCACAGCTAGAAGTAGATATTGGATACGGACCATAAGTGTGTTGAAAATAAATGATAATGTCTATGACCATAAATGAAAAAAAAAGCTTTTTTTGTATTTGTTGGGAAGTTGTAATAAATTTTATATACAGTACTAAAGATTATTTGTTTTACGTTCTTCCTGTGTTTGTGTGAGTTTCTTTCTGGTGCTCTGATTTCTTCCTACAGTCCAAAGACATGCTGGTAGGTTATTTGGCTTCTGGGAAAATAGGGCCTGGTGTGAGAGGCTGTGTTTGTGCCCTGAGATGGACTGCCTTGCACAGTTGCTTGCTGGGACAGGCTTCATCTTTCCTGTGACCCTGAATTGGCTGAAGCAGTTAGAAAAAGTTGGATAAAATTAGAAAGTCTGCAGGGGAAAAAAAAAAAATTATAAGAGGAGACCTTACCAAATTTCAACATAAAATGTAAAATTGTATCCGGAGACCACTGATGGTGTTAGTCAAAACCCCAAGAGTGTCTCGACTGACACACTCTTGACCCCTTTTTTTTTTTAAAAAAGGACGAAATTCATGACTCTTCCCTGTACCAAGATGGCGACCTATTTACCATCATCTGCTTTTGTCGTATCTATGGTAGAGAAGTTCGGATCGAGGTTGACTTCCGGATCACTAAGCCACACCGGAAAGGATTTGGACTTCACTGGGGTTGCAAACAGGGCAAACAGGAGGAATTTTCTTCTGCCCAAAACGCAAACCGTATTTTTTTTTTTATCATGGTCTTTCCGCTCTTGTGAACATTAATTGCGCAGCAAAGGAGCACAGAGGTGTTCACGTTCCTGTCGCTTTCCGCTCGGAAACAAGGTAGGGTGGTAAAAAAACTTGGTTGAATTCTGATGGGAGTTTATGTAAATATTTACCATTCAGCATTTGGCCTAACGTGTGTATAAAGTGAATTATGAAAAGTATCTTATATTAAAAAGCGACTGGATCGTTCGAATCCATCCATATAGGGTTTTTTTTATCCATCTTAAAGCTTTAAGTTTTGGTTTTCAGCGAACTGTCAGATTTTGGTAGTTTGGTATACTTTACCACACGAAAAACCGGGGTGAATTAATTTCGTTTTCACTCAGGAGTGGAGTGTGTGCTTGGCACTGGAGACGAGTTTTGTTTCGTATTAACAAGTTCCTATGAACCGATCAAAAATCAATATACGAGATTTGTTGTTGTGCAGCCTTGTGTTAGTGGCGGTATGGAGCGCGGCAGCAAAAGCAGTGTTTTACTTGCTTTCCGTAAACTCCGAGGTTAGCAAAACTTTTGTTCGATGTTTTATTTGGGAACCCGCCTGCCGTTCTGGAGCCCGTCCTTTTTGATCGTTTTGAAACCTTTTGTAAGTCTCTAGCAAGTGCGTTTGAAGCGGAACTCTCCTACCCCGCTCCTGGAGAGCCGCAGTCATTAAGAGACCCGGAACAATTGAGAAGTGATGGTTTAAACAGCTGATTTATTTACACTGAGTGATTGAGAGACTATCTGTAATAAAACTGGTACTGATTCTCAGTCCTGAAGGACTAGCGATTCCTTAAGTGAACAAATGAATGCATTGATAGGTGACTTTCAAGAGTTCCGATCTTTTTTTAAAAAAGAGTTGATTCAGAGTGACCGATAAGATTAACTTGTTTGGTGCTCTCTTGGACCAGGATAGGAGATCCCGAGATCCCTGGTTTAAAGCTTCTTTCTAGCGCTGTGGACTGGGGAGAATAAGGATGTGGCCTCTGATTTAATAGTTGTGTGTGCGCAGATAATGAAGTAGCCAACCTGTCTCAGCATCCCTTGTTTACCCCAACCGCTGTTCAAGGGCTGGAAACGTTTCTTTGCAGCTTCAAGCTGCAGAACAGCAGTGAATGGCTCCTTCTAGATTGGCTGTTCTGAATCTTGTGTAAAATCCCCGTAGCAGATGTGGAGTTCGCAGACCTGCCCTTTGGGATTCGATCATGTTGCTTTGGAGCAGCATAGCCATGTGGCACCTGTTCCAAACCACCAGTGCTTTCTGCTTACTCTAAAAGCACGGCCACCCACGGAGACATGCCGATTGGTGTCTGTTGAGTGTCCTGGGGGATTATGGCTCTGATGAGTTCTGTCACACTTACTGCCACTGATCCAAGTGATCCAAGTTACAGCATCACCGTGTGGGCTCTGTAGCCCTGATGGGATTCAGTCTCAGCACCTCAGCCCTGAGCCATGCAGGACCTCTTCCTGAGAGCAGAAGACCACCCTATGGCACAAGACTGTGACTCTCTGTTTGCGGGACGGTGCAGGACTGCAAGTCGGAGTTCATTGATCTTGGGGAATCCCATCACTGTAACTGGTGCAAGTGAGCCCAATTACACTGGCATCACAGAGACTGCGGTTGTGGAGGCCGGTTTTTCTTGGGGCAGTGTGTGTGTGTGGAAGGATTTTCGATTCGTTAGCAGTGATCGCGTGATTTGTGCCCCAGGTGTGAATGACAGACGTGGTGCCCCCCACTGCACTTGGTGAGATCAAACTTCGTCTGCTCTGTCACGATGACATAGACACCGTCAAACAGCTCTGCGGCGACTGGTTTCCCATTGAGTGAGTACTTCACTTTCCATGCCTTAGAAGTGAATGACAGCAGGCATCATCACCATCATAAAACGTGCTCTTGAGCTATGCACTCTTTGCACTTAAGAAGATACTAATGTATTTTTCTATTTGTTAATGCATTGGAGATTTTAAAAGAAGCAGTTATGCAGCATTGTGGCAGTAATAGTGCATAGGATAAGTGTTTCTACAGAGTCTAGATAACTATCTGTGTTTTATGTGTGTATTGACGTGATTATATAGTCAAACAGCAGACAACTGCATCACGGAAAACCTTCCTTCTATTAATGTGCAACAGTACTTTATTAAAGCCAGTGTTGGGAGAACAGAACAGCGCTGCAGTTTTGCATGACTTCTGTAACTCAGCCTTGTTCTCTGTAGGTACCCAGACTCATGGTACCGCGACATCACTTCAAACAAGAAGTTCTTTTCTCTGGCTGCCACCTTCAAAGGGGGCATTGTGGGAATGATAGTGGCTGAAATAAAAGGCCGAACAAAAGTACACAAAGAGGTAAGTTTCATTTGATTCTTTCTGGGCTTAATCGGGTACCAACTGAACGGTACAACATATTTACCAAAAATATTATGTGTTCTTAACACAGGAGCTCACTGAGTGAGCCATTTTTGCCTGTTCATGTAATTAAACATATCTGGTCAAACGTGATATTGTCACGTTGGTTTCTGAGTGCGTTTCATTCTTATCATTTCACTTTGAGACAGTGTGAACAAATGATGGCTTCCAAGCATGTCTAGCCACATGGTGTGCTGAACATCCCTGTCCGAGTAAAAAAAAAATCTGGACAGTGGTGACATGGCGATGAAGATCCATTTTATTTTATAATGTGAGTGATCGGTAGAGAAACTAAGGGGAAGTAGAGTGGTACCTGTTTGGAGTTCATTGATCAATCGACAATCAACAAAAAGGAAAGAAGACTGATTATTGAAGAAGATGTTTCGAAAGGGTTTTCAAATGTATGGCCAGGGCATCATCATGACATAGAATCCCAATTTTGTCACATTTGTAATGGCTCATGTGTGCCAATATACTTGACAAGTATGAAGCTAATAGGCTGTCTAGCACAAAAATTATCAAAAGGGCAAGAAAACAAATCTTTGCACTCATTATAGGCTTTTAATAGTTGAAAACATAATTCTCTGATTTTTCTTACTTTTACATTCTTAACCTGCTGTTTCCTGGTTTTCCACAGGATGGAGACATTTTGGCCTCTAGCTTTCCTGTTGATACACAGGTTGCTTACATCCTGAGCTTAGGAGTTGTGAAAGAATTTAGGAAACATGGAATAGGTGAGATCTGTACCTTGCATGTACTTCATTATTATTATTATTATTATTATTATTATTATTATTAAATCTTAAGTCTAGTATGGCATATGAGCACTACTGTAACAACAGGTATGACTAAAAACCACTGTCTTTGCCTTTTTCAGGTTCACTACTGCTCGAAAGTTTGAAAGAACACATATCTACCACTGCACAGGATCACTGTAAAGCAATCTATCTTCATGTCCTGACAACCAATAACACTGCCATTCACTTCTATGAGAACAGAGACTTTAAACAGCACCACTATTTACCTTATTATTATTCTATACGAGGAGTGCTGAAAGATGGCTTCACCTACGTACTGTATATCAATGGCGGACATCCTCCTTGGACCATTTTATATCCTTCACTGATGTGCCTTTTGCTGTGTGCATGTGTGATACTGTCAGGATTGAATGAACATCATGGTCTCCAGCCTGTGATGAACATGAGGGCATTAGGATCTGTTTCAGCACTTCAGTACCACCTAATTACTTTGTATCATCAGTGATAAATGTTATACAGTAATAAATTAGCTAATTCACCACTGCTCTACTTGTGTGCTTTTCCCAATGTGACTGATGGCAACTTGTTTCTGATCTGCTTTTTCCACAGTTAGGGGATTCCTTTTCACTTCCCGGTGTCTCTTTAATTTTCTATATTCACTGTCACTATTCCAAGCCATGAAAATTGAAAATCGAAATTCCAGTACTGTTTTAATGCTCATTTGCAGCGTTCTTTGGGGGCGGCAGTGCAGCGGGACGGATCGTGCATTTTGAGGACAGTTCACTCAGGAATCGGTTATCTGTGAGTCCAGGTCATATTGGCTTATGCAAGTGCTCACTGAGTGAGTGAGGCGAATCTTCAGAACTCTGAATAAAATGTGTGTGGAGTGAAACTCCATTTATGCTGTGGTTCTAGCTGGGAAGGTTTGTTTTCAATAGTGTAAGGAAAGAATAGCCCTATGCTTCCAGAAGAGTTATCCTTTGTCACTTCCTTTGGTATGGAGCAGAAACAATGAAAGGAAAAAGGGTTGCGGTTCACTGCTACACAATGTAAGTGTTTCAAAAACAAGAAGTAGATGCCAGTGAAAGGAATTTTAAAGCCCCTTTCTAGAAACTAGACTCTTTTATCGCAGATATAACCGGGTCATATTTTTCTTGTCTTTTTTCTTTAGTTGGTAAGTAAAATTAGGACCTTTTGAGTGATTAGAATCATCAGGTTTTAAAAAGAAAACATAAACAAACCCGATGTTCTCCTTAACAACTTCCCACTGATTATTTGCAGCACATTGGATCTACTTTAGCAAACTTGAGTCCCTGTTCCATTCCTCAGAGAATATATCGTCAAGCACAGAACCTGCTCCGCAGTTTCTTACCTTGGTCAGGTATCTCTGCAAAGAGTGGTATTGAGTACAGCCGGACGATGTGACGACAGCAACATCGTGAAAGTCAGGAAGTGACCTGGAGCATCCTGAGGTTGGTGCCTTTTCTGTTGGTGCTTTGCCAGACCCACAGGCTAATTAAATTCTTGGAGGCCTCCTCAGAGACCTGGCGGTGCCTGCCATTGTTCTGTCAAAAAACAAAAAGAGGAGAGTGTTTAATGAGTGTGAAAGCCGAGATAGTAGGTGTTTGCAGTGTAAATTAAGGCAGTCTAGATAATATTCTTAACCCCTGAAATGTCCCTCAGCTTTTGTCGCCAAGCTTGTGCTTAGTGTGAAAGCAGCATTAGTTGCCACATGCTGGAATAAAAATGAGAAGTTTTTTTTATTTCTCTGATGAGTAAGGTTACTGGAAACAGCTGAGTTTTTGTTTGGAAGTCTGGAGCTTGTTTAAGCCTTATGCTTTAGTGAATGCATTTTTTCCACAAGTTTCAGCCTACAGAATTGGAGCCTGTTCTGTAGTATATTAATTGAAACATGTTTCTCATTTTAACGTAGTTTTCCCATCTTATTGTTTCAGCTATGGAGCATTGCTCTTTTGGTGATGAATTGATGCCCAGACACCAGTATTTCCACAAGGGACCCAGTGATGCCTGAGGTTTTGAAAAACGCACTCAACTCAGACGTTGTATTATATTTGTACGGTACATATGTATAAAAGTGATGAACAGTGTTATAGTCATTGGTTGGCTGCTCAGTTGATGCACAAACTTTTCTTTGTACACACCAAATGGCTGTAATTTGCTGCTCCGTTAGAAATCCAGAACATGTCTTGCCCTGGTTTTTCATTAAAAAGTAGATGATGATGTGTGCCTGTTTATATTAGGGTTTAATACAAATCTGTAACAGGTAGCAGTATTCCCTTAAGATACAGGCCAGATTTCCAAACATATGCTTCTTGTGTGCATAAATCTTAAGTGCTAATCATAATTGGTGATGATGGCTCATTGCAGTAATAGGAAATCTTCAAGATTGCACCAATTTGATTAATTGCAATGTCCAGATTACTAATGGCTCTGGTAAAAAAAAAATCTGTAGAGTAAATGATAAATTAACAGACATACAGTGCTGTTAACATTTCAAACATGAAGAAAACCAACATTGCTTTTATAGATTATAGAAAAAAAATGGAGCTTCATAGAAGTGATTTCCTTCTGTTCTGTTTAATGCTCAGCTGAATAGCCTTTAACAGTGATTTGTCTCAGGCAGCAGGCTAGCTTTTGCTCCAACTTTTGCTGTGAGTATGCATTCCTAAACACAAAGAATCTTGCAGGCTGTGCTTTGTTTTTTATATTTCTTTGCAAGTTTAAGATGCATATTAACAGAACGTTTTATAAATAATACTGCATAGTTAATGATTCAAAACATTTTTATTGTTTTTCTTAAGATAGTGAATACAGTGACAAGTTTTTAATGCTCATGTATTTGTATACAAAGACTGGATATCCTTTTTTTTGTCATGTTCTTTTAAAGGAGTGTTTCCTTTAGAATAGAGCTGGTATACATTTAGTCTTGTAAAAACACTGTCCATTTTCAGGCTGCTCTGTGTTTAGAGGAAAACCTCCCCACACTGCAGCCACACCCTGAATATTAATGGGATAACAGGCCAGGCAGAGCTGGTCCTTTGAAAAGAAGAAATGTTGAGTCTCAGTTGAACATACAGCTTCACATTTGAATATACACAGAACATTTAATTATATGGGGAAAAAACGTCTGACCAAAGGGAATTCCAATTACTTGTAGTGTGAATCAATGTGTAATATTGGAATGTTGTACAAGTGACGGATTGAGAAATATTTAGGAGAGAGGCCTGGCTGTAGAACATCTGTTTCTTGTGAGAACTCAGCATAACAATGCTTACGATGTAGTTAATGTAAATATAAGTTTAAATACTTTTTGAATTGAACAAACAATTAGCTAGATTGATTTTTAAAAGATATTTATGATCGAAACTCAGATGCACTCTATTGTGGTTATAGGGAACGTTCTTCAGATAAATCCTGTTTTTGTTATGCGTGTGTTTGAAAAGGGGTTAGGGTGGGGTATCACCGTCAAGAGCTTTCTCTCTCATGCTATAATGTTGTGTTTGACTAAATTTTCTTTCCTTATGGGTATGAAACAAAAGCAGCGTTTTCTTTTCAGCTCTTTTCAAGGAGTTAGCTGCTTGATGTTTACTGGTCCACAGGAACCCCTGCTTTCAGCGGTCATCGGTTCTTTGGATAAATTTGTTGTCTGCCAGACCAGTGTAAAAGTCTGGGGCGAGGTCTTTTTTTCTACATAAAGCTTCTGCCGTCTTTTATTGGCCGAATGCAGTCTGAATAATTAAAAAAGAGCATGGTTGATTTGTTTTTAAAAGCTAGCGCATGTCTTCAGTTTTTAAATGCAAATAAATAATCGAAAACAACAGTAAAAATGTGAAACATGACCTTTAGGTAGTCAACTAGGGCAACCTCTGCTGTTATTCTGCTAGAAATATTTACATTTATTTTAATTACTTTTGAAGTAATTGTTAACTTTGCAGGGAACCTATTATCTTCTACCACAAGCACAATAGTGCAATTTACCTGTTTTCATTGTTTTGTGTTTTCAACATGATTATATTTTAATATAGATTTTATTTTCTGTATTTTTTAATTGGTGTTTGCTGTGCATGTTCTCCACGAAATTGCAATGTTATGTTAACTTGATTTTATTTAATCTTTTTCTATAAAATGTGAGAAGAGGACTTACTGATTTTAAATACAATGAATGGTAATAAAGATATTGGTTAACTGACATAATGTACTTGTAATTGTGGGGTGAATCTTTTTTTTTAGCTCTGCAAAGATTTATATATGTACTGTTCGAAAAGTTGGAAACAGACATCTACAGCTGTAGTTTAGTACAATGAAAATGAAAGAAAACACCACAAAATGTACTTTTTTACTATATGTGATAGGTGAATGCTGTTCTTCATGCTGTTTGTGCAGGAATGGTCAGTACTGTAGTATTGTTCCACATGTCATGAAGAATATTCCCAAATGTGTGTTTTAGGTCATTTCAAATCCTCTTCTGTGCCCATGCTATTTTCGATGCATCCAGACTATAGGAAATGCAGCATGCATTTCAAACCATTTCAAACCTTATAACTAATATACTCTCTATTAATTGTTTATTATGGCTGTGTGATTTGAATCATTGTCATGCCAAAAAGTGAAGTCTGGTCTCCATTAATCTCTTTTTCCACCTGGTGCACTTTGGTGTTGGATACTGTATATATTTTATACCTGGCATTGATGCCTTAAATATGTATTAATTGTCCAGCACTAGTAAAAGATAAAGAAGCATGTTGTATCCCTCTCATTCTAATGCAGTCTTTTATTCCTGCTAAATCTTCAATATAGGACAGTGCCCTGAGGATGCCTTCCTTTGACCTGTAGGTCTGGTGCTTGGGTGCCTCCCTCATTTAGAAACAATGGACTCAACAAATGGTAACAACTTCCCCTCTGATCTGTTAAAGGACTTCTTTTCAGAAGCTTTTTTTAAGAACTGTGCTTCTCAAGGGCTTCTACAGAATACACTGACCATAAAAATAGCCGAGTGTACAATTTAGTGTACAACGTGACGAATTGCCCTATTTTAAGCTTTATGTTTAGTGAATCCTGTTGATGCAGTGTATTGTACAGGAAGTGCTACGTGTCTCTGAGCAGAGAGCAGAGATGGGCAGCCCTGGGCCTGGAGGGTTTTCTAGGTTTCTTCGAAGCAGGAGCACCTAAAGAAGCGCCGGGAGAAGCTGTTAAATTGGTCGCAATAAGCCGATCATGGGCTGATTGTGTTTAAGAGCCGAGTTGGAATGAAAATCCGCAGAGACACAAGCCCTCCGGGACTAGGGCTGTCTGAAAAGACCGAGCACGAAATCAGAATTTGAGTCGTGCATTCGTCCTGTTCTAATATTAACTGGGCCTAATTTTATCTGTAAACAAACTGTTGCAGAAGTATACGTTCTTCTGACGACGTAAATGGTAGACCTGCCCGTCTGCTATTAGGTGACATACGGTAACGGGGCCGTTCCGTGACGTCATTGCCCGAGTTCAGCCTTGCGTCACGCCCCCTTCGGAGGGACGCGCTGCCCAGTCCCACCTCCCGCTGATAGTAACTCAAGTCGAGTGTTACCAGTAGCTCCGGCTCGCTCCCGGTGTGGAACCTCATTCCCAGTCCCAGGTGAATAGGAGGGACGCGCTCTCGAATTCCCCCCACGGACCCCCGCTGCGATCCAACTCACGGCAAAGGTGGGTGAGGAGTTTGTTCATCCCGGTGTGTGCCTAACTGTTGACACGAAAGAATTTGGCAACTACTTCGGCGTTTTGTCAAGTTTACATTGTCTCCTTGGGAAGTTCAACGTCATCATTGTGATTAATATAATTAATTATGCTTTGATTGGCAGTATTGAGTTCTCAATGAGCAAAAACTATGTTGCTTATAAATGTTGAAGCGTCTCTTTTGGGATGCAGATGTGTTATTTTAATCGGTTAGACTGTTTTAATTTTGTGTTCAGACTTTATTATTATTATTATTATTATTATTATTTGCATGTTAGGAGTTTGTTTTCATGTACAAGTTGGTTTAAGGTACATCGTGTTTGCCAGACTGGATTACATAATCTGTAAACGATTTAAAAAAATGTGCGGGCTAGTTGAGGATGGATGGGTATAATTTGGTAACCCCCTACTCCGGTGCGATTGCTTATCTTTAAATGAGTAATGTATTAATGTTCTAGCGTTGCACTCATGAAAATGCTGTTCTGGTTCGGATTTTCTTTACTGCTAAATTACATGTTCAGATGCCGCAATGAACAGGAGAGTTTCGAACTGGGAACTTGTGCTTTTTTTGGGGGGCATGTACACACACACCAGGCGTTATTTCGGAATCGGAAATATTTGAATCGGAAGTTTTAGGCTTTCGAGTTGTTTCGTCTTGATGTTTCACGTTGTGAGAGAAAATAGCTGGGCTGAATTTGGAAAAGAGCAGACGGGAGACGTTTGATCTGGCAGTCCTAGCAAATCAGATCAAACAGGGAAACGCTTTGTGGTCAGATAATCTGTTATCTCGCAGTAACGTTCCGGGGTTCATCTGAGAATAGCCCTTGCAGACATCTCCAACCCAGCCGGTTTTAAAGTCACCAATAAATCACCAGTTTCTAAACATTTAGAACAATTCTTTTTTCGATGAAGAACACATTCTGAGTACTCTTCAGCCCCCGGAGATCAAGTTTCGGTTAATTGAACAGATACCTGCCTAATTCCCCGGTGATGACGGGCATTATTGCGAGTCTTCGCTGCCTGGATTGGCTTTGAAGGGCCGGGGCTGGATTACAGTTCACACGGGAGATTGTGGAAATACCATATTTAAATGCGAGATAAGTTGTGCTGTGTTTGTAAAATGGTTCCCCGGTTGTCTCTGGTTCATTCGGCGATCGGGAAGGTTTTCCGGATGGTGCTGTAAATCACGACGGAGTGATCTGTCGCCAGCACGGGCAGTACTATTTTCCTGAGAGAAAACATCATTCCTGGTCTCCCTCCGAGTCTGTGGCACAGTCAGTCAGTCAGTCAGTCACTTCTCCTCCTCAGCCGACTGAGCAGTTAACGCTCAAGTCTAGAGAAAACAGCGAGGATCCCCACAGCTTGTCTGTCTTGCCTCTTGCTTTGCCTTTTTCCGGTCGCTTGTTTTTAAGACAGACTTACATCTGTGCTCAAACA